GGGGGGGGGGGTGTGTGGTGTGGTGCTGTGCTACTGACTTGCTCTGCTGCGGTGTAGTTGTGGTGGTTGGGATGTGTTGACGGTTTTTTGTGATAGCTTCGTGTCAGAATTTAAACTTTTTTCAGATTGGCTGAACTTTTTTTTTTTCTATTTGAGGGGACAAAGATGGAAATGAAAAAAATACCCACCAATAATGATTTGCGCTCTTGCTGGGTTGTCAGTTGTGGTGCTGTATATTACCAAAGTAAAACAGCCATTGCGACAGACAGCCGGTGACCAAAGAACGGATTGGATTCTTCGGTGCTATGTCCATCTTTCTGTCGGTCGTTCGTCGTTCGTCGTTCGTTCGTATGAGCATTGAACTAAAAACAAAAGTTACCAGCTCAACCATTCACCGCTCGCCATTAGTGGTATTTACACAATTTCTTTCTCGGACAATCTTCTTTCCCCATTAAAAGTTGTTTCTCATTCCGTATATTTGCTCTTTACACGTTGGCATTCTTGTTTTCCTAGAAATATATCCACCGCTTTCAGTTGAAAAACAAAAAATAAAATTGGCCTTAAGTAAATAAGGTTTTGCTGTCAAAATGGCATTTGAGTGACACAACAAACCCTCTTAACGTGGTGGTCGTAGGGTTCATGGCTGGCGGGGGTTGAAACGACATTAACGGAAGTCTAAGAAATGCTGCACAATAGTCAAAGTATATTTTTAGGCTTTATGTTGGAAATCATTGTGAAGCCTATTTTTAGGTTAAAACCTTCTATTTGTCCAAGGCACAGGTCGTTGCTAATAATTGCATTTCTCTTCTGTTGTTCTTTATTTTCAGGTAAGTTTTGTTGTGTGTGTTGTGTGTTTGGACGTGTTCAGAGTAAGTATAAAAGTGTAATTTGAAAAATTCGTTTGTTGTACCAGTTTTTATGGCATTTCTGCTGGGTTACTACATATTCCGAGCAAGTGTTGTTGCCCCTTATATTACTACAGTGTGTTAGAGGGTATTAATGTTCGGTGCATTTGTTTGAAAGATGATGATAATCTTGGGATAGCGGACTGTATTAGTTGCTATATTGAGATAGACAGGTCGAACCTTACTCAAATTGATGAAAATCCGTTCATACTTTAATAAAGAGCTGCGAAGCAAATGCTGGACCAAATACTGCCACAATTTGCGAATCTTCCATATTTATATTTGCACGTTTATCTGGCGTTTTTATAATTTAAAAATGAAACCTCAGTAAATTGGCTATTTTAACAAATGTTCTGTTAATATGAATAATAAATATACCTTTAAAATTGTTAAAAAGGCTTTTAATAAACCAGTACGACATTTTTTATGCTTTTCACCATTATAAAATATTGTTGATACCAATACGATTACAAAATGTGTTTAGAGTCTTCAAAATTCAGAATGTTTGGTATTATTTCGAAAAAGTGTGTATATAAGATCGTCATAGTCATAAATAAGTAAATCAACAGGAATATATTGTTCTTTATCACAGTGTGATATGTAGCCACAAGATCATATGTATTTAAGATTTTTACGAGATATTAATATAAAATTATATTAGGTTTACAATCTAGCACGTTTCAAACCAATGATATTTGTATTTTGTTTGTGAATTTTAAGGGAAAGGTAACAAAAGAAAATTGTCCAATACTGTTATCTTCGTATTCGACCAAAATTTGAGAAAAAACTAGTACTATGTACCAAGAACCAAATCGGGTGCCATGCTCAAACAACTAGCCAGTCAGACAGACAAACCAAACGAACGGACATGCCTAGTTCAACTCTAAATTTCCCAAAATAGAGTTCATTCATTAAGACATGGTGTCCAAAACAATTATTTCGACAAAAGTGAACTCTCTTTAGCCATGAGGCTTCAGGAACAAAAATGATAATAGCAACTAAAAAAGCTGTAAGTTCGGCTGGGCCGATTAGGGCTGGGCCCAAATAAAATCCGCTAAAAATTCTGTTAAAATCTTAAAAACACCGAATGTAGCATTATATTAGGGTCTATACGACGACGGGGACCTGCATAGACAACTTTGGTTTAAGCTATTACAATATTCAAATGCAAAACTCGAAAACAAAGAATCTGTTTATAATGTAGTTAAAATCGTCAAAATACCGATCATAGGGAGATACCATGGCGGTTATACTAAAACGTGGTCCTGTACAGACAATTTTCTGTCATTGATTGTAGTATCCATTACGAACTTCAAATACCAAATTTGAAACAATTCGGGTGGATAATGTCACTAAAATCATCAAAATACCGAATATCGGGAGGTACCGTTATATGCGGGCTATACGAAAACGTCGATCTGCACAGAAAATTTTCTGTATTAGGCTGAAGCATCCATTACGAACATAAAATACCAAATACCAATTCCGGTGAATAATGTCGCTAAAATCATCAAAATACCGATTATCGGGAGGTACCGTTATATTGGTCTATACGAAGACGTGGGCCTACATGACCCATTTTCAGTACCAAAAGTCCTGCAGACATAACATACATTTGAGTAAAATTGTATCAACCTACTTCATTTCGTTCGGAAGCTAGAGTGATTTCCACAGAAGGACAGACGGACGGACATCGCAACAACATATATTACAAACGGAATGACAAACTTAATATATCCTTAATACTATGATGGAGGGTATAATAATTTTTATAATTTCTTCAAATAATAACCAATAAGTCTAAGTCCACGTAGGTCTTGGGTCTTCGTAGAATTTTCGAAGTAACCTAATAGAAACAATGTAAACGGCTTCTAATGTTGCCACAAATTCCACTACGTAGACTAATTTGTTTGACCAAGTCACCGTAAGTATTTTAAGCATGCTAATTTGGTTCGCTTTACGTTTTACTCCTCGGTTGGCAATTACGTTGGCCACATCCTTCCTTTGCACTGGAATTTACCTTTATTAAGTAATATTAACTACCTTTTCATGGCTGAGAGAACACACACGCACACACCATTATCCCTCTTTTTATTTTGGGTCAATTTATTTCATCTTCATTTGTGTGAGAGGCCATGTATGGGTGTGTGTGTGTGAGTTTGGTCTCAACTGGTCAAATGCAATGAATGAACTTCATTTCAAAATGAACGCAATGCTGCTCCCATGTGTTTGCATACGGAAAATACCTCCATTAAGACGAAGGCAAACTTTGGGATTTTGGTTTCTTGCCAAACAAAGGAGAACAAAAAAAAAAAAAAAGAATAACAAAACCCCAATAGAAAAAGGGGCTGTGGTGTATCCTTGTTGTTCTTTCTCTCATACACTTTGGTATTTGTTGGAGGCGGGTGAAATCCGTTCACCCACTTCTTCTGCTGCAATCGTTGTGTCGATGTGGCTTTTTCTGTAAGATTTTGTGTTATTCCATTTCATTTCAATTCGGCACTTGGTTTGTTTTCATTAGGTTTTGCTGGTTGGTCTTTGTTTTTGTTGGTCTTTTTTTCGCTTCAGCTTCTGTTTGCAGTGGGTATTCATCCATCATTTTAACCGTACCAAAAAAATATGATGGGACTGTAAAAGAGGCTAGCTGATGGCTAGCAACACATCATACCTCTTTCGTTCGTTCGTCTGTCCATTGGTTAGCCAGTCAGTCAGTCGTCCGTGGACTTTTTCCTGCCATCTTTCTTCACTTAAATGTAGTTTTTGGTCTTTCGTTTTCTTTAACAAACATTGCTGCCGTGGATGCGGTTGGGTTAGTTCATCTGCTTGCCGTTCGTCCGTCCGTCCGTCCGACAGCCCGTTCATCCATCTATTTGTTCGTTTGCCCATTAATGTGATTGAGCGTCAGCAAGGCTGTGATGCTATTTTGGTTGTAGAAAAACTGTTCGTTTATATGGCCGTTTTGCTCAACACAAAATACCAGCCATCATGGGTGGTAGAAAAAAATTCAATTTTATTTTTGATTTTAAGGCTTAAAGAAAATTTACATATTATTTGTCTATTTTCTTTTGATTGGATTTGATTTTCATTTGTATTGTGGTTAATCTTCATAGGCAATCTTCTTCGTCTTGGGATGGATGTTTTGTGCACACAAGAGAGAATTGAAAATTTAAATATTTCTTTGAACCATTTTTATTTGATCCCGAAATTGTCTTACTTTACCGAGAAAAGCTCATAATTTGAAAAACTCAAAATAATTTATAAAAGTTAAAGACAAATGACTTACGAAACGTGGTGAATAAACAGAGGTTGGATTATTTCGTGTCGCAAAATATGTAATTTAATAGTTCGATTATCAAGAATTTTAGTTGGCAAACCCGAGAAGAAAAATTTAATAATGCAAAGAAACAAAGCAATATTTCGATCTGAACTTGTATCTGAATTTGTAGATATATAACAATCCCATAATTGCGGCTCAAGTAGAGGACCAAGAGAAATATTAATTTTTTTGTGTGGCGATCGGATCAAGGACGCAGAAGAAATAGTTGGTTGCTTTTCTGATATAAAAATAAAATGTTCGGCCTGACATGTGTCATTATTTTTGTAAAATGTTGAAAGACTGGAAACAGTGGAAATTTATAGGGAGTGTTTTGCCTTTTTTAATACCGTTTTTTGTGGCTTTAGAATTCCTTATTTCCTTGAAGATAAATTTGAAATCTATACAGGGTGTGATAAAAAACGCCATCAGTTTTACTTTTTTTAAATTTTATTGAATGAAAGCTAAAAATGTCTGAAATAATATCAAATTTTAGAATAACTTTAGATTTGTTCGAATTGGTTACCCTTGGCATGCATTATGGCGTTTAAATGGCTAATGAAACCGTCGCAAGCTGCCCGAATGTTGCTCTACAACAACGGATTGGTATCCGGAGATTTTGGTGGCCATTGTGCGCTGGAAATGAAGCTAGGGACCTCATTTTGTAATTATTCTTGGGTGGCGCATGCTGTGACCTGTTGGAATGTCCAAGGTCTGCGGTCAAAACGTTTGCGTGCCCAAGGCTTTAATAAACGCCCTCCAGAATATTTTCGCGATAATATTCGGCATTTATCCTGATGCCACGGTTCTTAGCAGTTAAGAATTTTATCGATGCCGGTGCTGGCGTAGTAGACGAAGATTATCGCGGCAACCTTGTTGTGGTATTATTCAATCTCTCCGATGTCGAATTTGAAGTTAAACGTGGAGATAGAATTGACCAATTATTATGTGAACGCATATTCTACCGCGGACTTGAACAAGTCGATAAATTGGAAGAAACTAAACGTGGTGAAGCAGGTTTTGGTTCAACGGGTGTGAAAGAACTTCCCGCCATGAAGAACGGTACAACAGAACCAGCAGGTGAAGCCACAACCGAATAATTCTATAATCTCGTTATACCTCTTAAGACTAAGTTAACCAAGTATTTCATGTATTGTATTTGATTTCAGAATAAACGACTCTTTGAACAAAAAAACAAAAAAAAAAAAAAAAAGAGAGCGACCATCAGCTTTTATGGCGGCCCACACCATCACCATGGCCGCCGCTTGAGTTCTGGTGGCACATTTTCAGCTGACCTCTTTGGCAAGTAAACACGTTTTTTACAAGCTGTTGGACAACGAATGTTTTCTCATGGGAGAATACCAAATTCGGTAGTTCACCACTTTTGGCCAAGCGAAGTAACTCTTTAGCTCTTTTGAGTCTACTTTCTTTCCGTTGCGGTGTAAGTTCTTGCATTTTTTGGAATTTCAATGGCTTTACCCCGAGCTAATTTTTCAATATTTACCGAATGGAATATTGCGATATGTTCAGCTCACGAGCCATTTTTCGCCCACTGCAACGCAGGTTTCGATCAAGTCGCTTCTTTACATTTTGAACCATTTCTGCTGCTGTTGCTGTTATCTTCCGTCCACTTTCTTGACGCTATTAGTATAATGGTAACGAGCGATGGTACGAGACACAAACGATTTATTCACATTTAAATTCTGGAGTGCTCTAACGATAGCTACTTGTGGTTTTCCAGCCAAACATAAAGAAATCACACTATCACGCTTAAATTCCATCTCGGATAACTTTTTTTCTTGAAAATTTTCACAATAATGCATTTGTACGCTTGTAAACAATATTATGAGCTGTCACTAGAACTATTTTAAAAGCTGTCGGACGAATGGCTTAGAAATGACAGCAGTCTGAAGTTGATTGCAGTTTTTTTTTTATCTCAACCTGTATATTATTCATTCGATTTGTAAAATTTCTCCTCATAGCCGTAATATGCACTCCTTAACAACAATATTGGGCGAAATATATCAAATACAGCTCAGAAATACCTCGGCTAAAATTTATCGAAATCGGTTCAGATTTTTATATAGCTTCCATATATACCTTTATACGATTTCAAGTTTATTGGGTACCAAATAGCTAATTCAGCCCAAATGTGAAAATCGGTGAAAATCGGTTCATATATATTTGGTGGAGCTCGGCTAAAATATATAATTTTTAATGTAATCCTTCTCATAGTGATATCGTGCAATATTATATAACAATGTTATTTGGTATAAAAGAACAAATTGTCTTGGTCAAATATGGTGAAATTCGATTCAGAATTGGATAGGCCTCCCATATATTAGTTCTCTCTGAAGCCGAAACGGTCACTGCTATAAAGCCATGATACTCATTCAAATAAGTTTAATAGTTGGTATTCTTTTGTTACGGAAGGTCTACTAAGTACGCATAGTGGTGTAGGGTATCATAGATTCTGCCCCGTCCAACTTTTGACTTTTCCTTACTGACTCATCTCAACATTTTCACCAATGTTAGGCCTCGTATGAAAATGTATAAAAGTCGTCCGGCTAACAGAGAATATTTTTGTCACTCATATGCTGCGGCTAAATGCCTATCGGCAAATTAATTCATAACTTCCAATTTATCTACATTTGTAAGGATTTTAGTTCCTTTATCTTACTTTAATATGACTCTTCTTCGAAAAAATTTCTACTGTCCCATATTAAATGTGAATGTTAATCAATTTTATGCTTAAGGCCCATAATACTGTAAAGTAATTGAATTAGTAGACCTAAATGTACAAAAGTTTTTAAATGATTTATTTTCGTAAAAAAAGAAGTACAAATTTAATATTGCAACAAATTTGTCAAGGCTCTAACAAACACAAATCCATTCCGTCCCATGCGTCGCCACAATACATCTGTTAAATTAATTACAACATAATTATGCAAATTAGGTTCGAGTAGAAGCAAACCAACAAAAAAGCCACTATGTTAAATAAACGAACATTTACACACACACACATACACACGCCTCCCCAAGGGATACAATTTTCTCTTTGCATAAACTGGTCGAAAAAAGTAATAATAATAATAGAAAAAATCATACATAATTATGTTTAAAGTTGTTTCCAACAACCGCAAAGGTTTATTCTTCTTGTTTGTTGAATAATTTTAGGAGCTGGTGGTTGGCTGATGGAAATCCTGGGGGAGGCAGTGGTGTGTTTGCGATTTTGAATGAGCGAGCGAAAAAATCGTTAGTATTTTTTTATGTAATGTCATTATAAATTAAAAGCTTTTCTAGCCTCTCTCCTCACACACAGCGACAATGATGGCGAGATAACGACGATGATGATGATGCTATCGAGCATAATACATATTTTTTTCTTTTTTTGGGGCTGAATGTTGTCCTCCATCAGCACAACATATATTTTTTGGCAAAACGAATGAATGCAACCGCACAACAGAATGAATGAAACTCAGAAAGTAATTGAAAATTCAAAATCAATTACCGATACTTTGCCGGTGCTCTAGGACAAGTTAAAGAAAAATAAAGAACTTTTTAACCTCTCCCTCTTGGAAAAGTTGTTCCTCGTTTTTCCTATTTCTTTTTTTGTCGTTTTGGCAAGAGCAAAACATAATTTGAAAGATAAACTCGGAAAATCGTTGTAATTCGGTTTATTTGTGCACTGGAGTGAAAGCGTTCAAGTATATATCCTCCATCCGCCACAACTTTAAAATTCATGCTTGAATTATGGAATATAAATAGATCAAATTTGTTAGCGGAGTGCAAAAAAATCACTCGATTTTACGCGTTTAATAATAAGAGGAGCATTTCGGGATGGGAATGGTTTCCAGCGACACGAAAGTTGATTGCGTCGTTTTAAAGTAAATCAAACGGCAATGATTTGCTCTTTCAACCTTTCGATTTCGTTTGGCAGTTCCCTAAGTATCCATCAAGGATTTCCCATTTTTGTTTATACCCCAAAAATAGAGGATATATCATTATTTCACATATTGCAACATCTCGAAATATAAGGCAGATATCCTAGAGATACTATTAAACAAATATTTATATGGATATCTTTACAGGAGTTATAGCTTTTTTACTTGGATATGAATCAACAAAACAGTACATTGAGTTAATTAAACACTTAAATACTCCTGGGCATTCTTGATCTTGCGTAGAAATTAAGCGGTACCTCTGTGTGAATAATTGTCTGTGTAGTTATATGACTGTTATGTAAAATATTTTTAATCGAAAGTGATTTTTTTTGGGATACGACACTCTTAAATAAACATAGATATTTTAAGGTATTAAGATGTATGTCCGTTTGCTTAAATCATGATAGAGACATAGATGTTTCTAGTAGTACTACTAATATGTTTATACCCTCAGCCATATAGCTATAGGGGGTATAAAGGGTGAGATGGAAAAACTGCAACCAGCCCATTATATTGTTTACAAGCGTACAAAAGCATTTTGGGAAGAATTTTCCAGAAAAAAAGTTATTCGTGATGGGATTCAAGCATGATAGAGTGATTTCTTTATATTTCGCTGGAAACCACAAGTGCCTATCGTTAGAGCATTTAATTGTGAATAAATCTCTTGTGTCTTGTATCATCGCTCGTTACCGTGATACTGGTAGCTTAGCCCGATGTCAAAGAAGTGGACGGAAGAAAACAGCAACATTAGCAGAAATGGTTCGAAAAGTAAAGAAGCGACTTGATCGAATCCCACGTCGCAGTGGCTGAAAAATAGCTCGCGAGCTGAATGTATCACAATAATTCATTCGGCAAATATTGAAAAATTAACTCGGGGTAATGCCACTGAAATTCCAAATAGTGCAAAGACTTACACCGCAACAGAAAGAAAATAGACTAAATAGAACTAAAGAGTTGTTTCGCTTGGGCGAAAGTGCTTATCTGCCGAATTTGGTTTTCTCCGATCAAAAACATTTGTTGTCCAGCAGCATAGACAAATAAAGGTATAGACTAACAAGTTTTAAAATTTTCCCTTGCGGCAGATGTCACTATTGTTGATCTTGGGTCAGTCAAGTCACTCAGGGCTAGTGAAAACAATTTATTCATTTTTCTGCTATTTAAGTTCTATATTTTTATATTTCACGACATATTTGGATAATGTAAAAGTAAACAGAGCCGATGTTTCGTTTCAAATTGATAAATAATAAAGAATCATAAAAATATTTAAAATTTTTTTTGAGAGAATTGAGTGAGTCTACTGGAGCTCTCTCACAGCATGAACGACATCTATTGAAGCTCTTTTTTCGGAGACAACAGATGAGACAACTTTTTAGTCTATACCTTTATTTGTCTATGCCTGCAGTTTGTAAACAAACAAAATGATCGTGTTTTCTTGCCAAAGAGGTCAGCTGAAAATGTGCACCTTCGGTTGACCACCAGAACACAAGCGCCGGCCATAGTGATGGTGTGGGCCGCCATATAGCGATATATTCTGGATGGTGTATTAAAGCCTTTGGCACGCAAATATTTTGGCCGTTGGACATTCCAACAGGACTCAGCACGCGCCACCGTAGAATGGTTACATAATCAGGTCCCTCGCTTTATTCCACAATGGCCACAAAAATCTCCGAATACCAATCCGTTGGACTATTGTGTCTGGAGTATTTTTAAAGCAAGGTTTGCACTAAAAATACCAAGGTGTTGATCACCTAAAGCAAGCGCTTCGCCGGGAATGGACCAAAATACCGCAGGGCAACATTCGTACCGCGTGTGACGGTTTTATTGGCCGTTTGAAGGCCATAATTCGTGACAAAGGTAACCAATTCGAACAAATCCAAACTTATTCTAAAATTTGATTGTATTTCCGACCTTTTTTGCTTTCATTCAATAAAATTTCAAAAAAGGTGAAAATTATGGCTTTTGGCTTTGCAGTTTTTTTTTTATCTCACCCTGCATCTGGTACCATACGCATATTTTAATATTTTCGAGAAATTATCACATAGTCACCAATATAGTTCAAACCTGGCACGTCGAAATATTTATATCATATTTATTTTGGTCCGATACGAAATGGACAATATTGGCCCATTCCTTCGGAACCAACAATTTGATTAATTATAAAAGAATTTGAAATAGACTA